TTGTCAGTAATCTTTGACAGTTCCCAAGTTACTGGGGGTTATTGCACCTCTAGAGCTAGCACTAGTGTTTTCGGTGATGATGAAGAAGTCACCATACAGATGAACGATAAGCCTATGAAGTGTCCCACAAAACTAACCGGGAAGGCTAACCCAATTAATTAATTGTCCCTGTAAGGTCAGATGTATCAGGCCTGGAGGCTCAAATGTTACATCTGTATTTGTAAACAAACACAGCGCAGTTATGTCAGTTAGATGATAAGAATATGTAGTTGATTCCCATCATCTTTTTTTTTTTTCAATGACTGCTTTACACAGAAGGCATGATTGTACTCAGGACAAATTTATTGGTGCTCAGTCTATTATTTGTTGAGCTGTTTGGAGCAGTATTGGATGCCTTAAGAATGCTGCAAAACTGCAGTGCTTGGAGCTGTCCACTAGTTTATTGCCAACTTGTTCTATTGCAGTGTGTACTTTACCTGTGGGCTTTAAAACTTCTGTATCCAAGTACTTTCTTCCTGTTGCGTGGCAACCATGAGTGTAGGCATCTGACAGAATATTTCACATTTAAGCAAGAGTGTAAGTATCTCTACCCTTGTAATGTTTTGTTTCATACTCAGGTGGTGTCCTCATGGTCTGCTTTCTTTGTTGTCTCATGTTATTACATTACTGTTATGTATACATGTATTGTCTCACTAACATGCACTCCACACCCTTTCACTACCATGCTGTCACTGCTCTATCATAGTGTCTCACTACACTGTCCTATTTTGCTGTCACTCCTCTATCATAGTGTCTCACTACACTGTCCTATTTTGCTGTCACTCCTCTATCATAGTGTCTCACTGCATTGTCCTATCTTGTTGTCACTGCTCTGTCATAGTGTCTCACTACACTGTCCTATCTTGTTGTCACTCCTCTATCATAGTGTCTCACTACACTGTCCTATGCTTGCTCTATTGTCACTACACTGTCCTATCATAGTGTCTCACTACACTGTCCTATCTTGCTGTCACTCCTCTATCATAGTGTCTCACTACACTGTCCTATCTTGCTGTCACTGCTCTGTCATAGTGTCTCACTACACTGTCCTATCTTGCTGTCACTGCTCTATCATAGTGTCTCACTACACTGTCTATCTCTCTCATAGTGTCTCACTACACTGTCCTATCTCTTGCATAGTGTCACTACACTGTCCTATCTCTCTGTCATAGTGTCTCACTACACTGTCCTATCTTGTTGTCACTGCTCTGTCATAGTGTCTCACTACACTGTCCTATCTCTCTGTCATAGTGTCTCACTACACTGTCCTATCTCTCTGTCATAGTGTCTCACTACACTGTCCTATCTCTCTGTCATAGTGTCTCACTACACTGTCCTATCTCTCTGTCATAGTGTCTCACTACACTGTCCTATATCTCTGTCATAGTGTCTCACTACACTGTCCTATCTCTCTGTCATAGTGTCTCACTACACTGTCCTATCTCTCTGTCATAGTGTCTCACTACACTGTCCTATCTCTCTGTCATAGTGTCTCACTACACTGTCCTATCTCTCTGTCATAGTGTCTCACTACACTGTCCTATCTCTCTGTCATAGTGTCTCACTACACTGTCCTATCTCTCTGTCATAGTGTCTCACTACACTGTCCTATCTTGCTGTCACTGCTCTGTCATAGTGTCTCACTACACTGTCCTATCTCTCTGTCATAGTGTCTCACTACACTGTCCTATCTTGCTGTCACTGCTCTGTCATAGTGTCTCACTACACTGTCCTATCTCTCTGTCATAGTGTCTCACTACACTGTCCTATCTCTCTGTCATAGTGTCTCACTACACTGTCCTATCTCTCTGTCATAGTGTCTCACTACACTGTCCTATCTTGCTGTCACTGCTCTGTCATAGTGTCTCACTACACTGTCCTATCTTGCTGTCACTGCTCTATCATAGTGTCTCACTACACTGTCCTATCTCTCTGTCATAGTGTCTCACTACACTGTCCTATCTCTCTGTCATAGTGTCTCACTACACTGTCCTATCTCTCTGTCATAGTGTCTCACTACACTGTCCTATCTCTCTGTCATAGTGTCTCACTACACTGTCCTATCTTGTTGTTACTGCTCTGTCATAGTGTCTCACTACACTGTCCTATCTTGCTGGCACTGCTCTATCATAGTGTCTCACTACACTGTCCTATCTTGTTGTCACTGCTCTATCATAGTGTCTCACTACACTGTCCTATCTTGCTGTCACTGCTCTGTCATAGTGTCTCACTACACTGTCCTATCTTGCTGTCACTGCTCTGTCATAGTGTCTCACTACACTGTCCTATCTTGCTGTCACTGCTCTGTCATAGTGTCTCACTACACTGTCCTATCTTGCTGTCACTCCTCTATCTATCATACTGTCTCACTACACTGTCCTATCTTGCTGTCACTGCTCTGTCATAGTGTCTCACTACACTGTCCTATCTTGTTGTCACTGCTCTGTCATAGTGTCTCACTACACTGTCCTATCTTGCTGTCACTGCTCTGTCATAGTGTCTCACTACACTGTCCTATCTTGCTGTCACTGCTCTATCATAGTGTCTCACTACACTGTCCTATCTTGCTGTCTCTGCTCTGTCATAGTGTCTCACTACACTGTCCTATCTTGCTGTCACTCCTCTATCATAGTGTCTCACTACACTGTCCTATCTTGCTGTCACTGCTCTTTCATAGTGTCTCACTACACTGTCCTATCTTGCTGTCACTGCTCTGTCATAGTGTCTCACTACACTGTCCTATCTTGCTGTCACTGCTCTTTCATAGTGTCTCACTACACTGTCCTATCTTGCTGTCACTGCTCTATCATAGTGTCTCACTACACTGTCCTATCTTGCTGTCACTGCTCTATCATATGTCTCACTACACTGTCCTATCTTGCTGTCACTGCTCTATCATAGTGTCTCACTACACTGTCCTATCTTGCTGTCACTCCTCTATCATAGTGTCTCACTACACTGTCCTATCTTGCTGTCACTGCTCTGTCATAGTGTCTCACTACACTGTCCTATCTTGCTGTCACTGCTCTATCATAGTGTCTCACTACACTGTCCTATCTTGCTGTCACTCCTCTATCATAGTGTCTCACTACACTGTCCTATCTTGCTGTCACTGCTCTTTCATAGTGTCTCACTACACTGTCCTATCTTGCTGTCACTGCTCTTTCATAGTGTCTCACTACACTGTCCTATCTTGCTGGCACTGCTCTATCAGTGTCTCACTACACTGTCCTATCTCTGGCATCATAGTGTCTCACTACACTGTCCTATCTTGCTGTCACTGCTCTGTCATTGTCTCTCACTACACTGTCCTATCTTGCTGTCACTGCTCTATCATTGTGTCTCACTACACTGTCCTATCTTGCTGTCACTGCTCTATCATAGTGTCTCACTACACTGTCCTATCTTGCTGTCACTGCTCTATCATAGTGTCTCACTACACTGTCCTATCTTGCTGTCACTGCTCTATCATAGTGTCTCACTACACTGTCCTATCTTGCTGTCACTGCTCTATCATAGTGTCTCACTACACTGTCCTATCTTGCTGTCACTGCTCTATCATAGTGTCTCACTACACTGTCCTATCTTGCTGTCACTGCTCTATCATAGTGTCTCACTACACTGTCCTATCTTGCTGTCACTGCTCTATCATAGTGTCTCACTACACTGTCCTATCTTGCTGTCACTGCTCTATCATAGTGTCTCACTACACTGTCCTATCTTGCTGTCACTGCTCTATCATAGTGTCTCACTACACTGTCCTATCTTGCTGTCACTGCTCTATCATAGTGTCTCACTACACTGTCCTATCTTGCTGTCACTGCTCTATCATAGTGTCTCACTACTACTGTCCTATCTTCATAGTGTCTCACTGTCACTGCTCTATCTCTCTGCTGTCCTCTATTATAGTGTCTCACTACACTGTCCTATCTTGCTGTTACTGCTCTATCATAGTGTCTCACTACACTGTCCTATCTTGCTGGCACTGCTCTGTCATAGTGTCTCACTACACTGTCCTATCTTGCTGTTACTGCTCTATCATAGTGTCTCACTACACTGTCCTATCTTGCTGTTACTGCTCTATCATAGTGTCTCACTACACTGTCCTATCTTGCTGTCACTGCTCTATCAGTGTCTCACTACACTGTCCTATCTTGCTGTCACTGCTCTGTCATAGTGTCTCACTACACTGTCCTATCTTGCTGTTACTCCTCTATCATAGTATCTCACTGCATTGTCCTGTCTTGTTGTCACTCCTCTATCATATGTCTCACTACACTGTCCTATCATGCTGTCACTCCTCTATCATAGTGTCTCACTACACTGTCCTATCTTGCTGTCACTCCTCTATCATAGAGTCTCACTACACTGTCCTATCTTGCTGTCACTCCTCTATCATAGAGTCTCACTACACTGTCCTATCTTGCTGTCACTCCTCTATCATAGAGTCTCACTACACTGTCCTATCTTGCTGTCACTGCTCTATCGTATGTCTCACTTCACTGACATGTCATACTGTCACTGCTCTATCAGTGTCTCACTACACTGACCTATCATACTATCACCGCTCTATCCTAAATCACTATCCTGGCATTGTGAAGCCACTAGCAGAATATCCTTATCCAACATGATATCCAGTGTAATCAGGTTAGAGCTGCTGCCCCAAGGGGCAAAAGGTTTTTATTCAAGCTGCCATTTTCAGCTGTCCTCATACACAATGTGTTTCACTTCTCCCTCCATATGTAGCAGTAACATATTTATACAGTCAAGCCTAGCACCAATTCCAAGCAACCCACAAATCAAGAGTTCATATTAAAAAATATGTGCTAACTGGCGACTAAATGTTTGTTCATGTTAACCAAATGTTATTTTTAAGCAAGTTCATGTTAATGAGGTTTTCCTTATTTATTTAATTAACAGAAACCTGTTCTTTGACCTTGCCTGTAATTCTTCTCCTGAAGGTAAAATCAAATATACAGAGAGGGTTTATGATGCTTGCATGGAAGCATTTGATTGTCTGCCCCTGTCAGCGTTGATGAACCAGCAGTTTCTCTGTGTCCACGGAGGACTGTCACCTGAAATTCACACTTTAGACGATATCAGAAAAGTAAGGCACACCCTCACATACTGAAGCTGTTATTTTAGCATCTCTTCCATTATGAGTTCTCCTATGTGTGCTGCTAATGTCTCTCTTCTTCCTTTCTCTTTCCTTGCTTTGCCTCTCATCTGTTATCCTCGTTTCTTCATCTTTCACTACGCTGTCCCTTCTTTCCTCTACCTGCTTCTTATTATTCTCCTTTCCTGCTAGTTTTTTCATTCTTCCTTTTTTTATCCCCACTCTCTCCTTCCCATCTCTGTATACCCATACTCTATCCCTCTTTTGTGCTGTGTAACTGCAAACCTAATACTTGCGGTAGGGCCCAGTTCTCTGTAGTACATGCCAGGTAACCAGCCTTTCTGCCGTAACATATTTATGAGACGTCCAAATAACACCATTGGCTGTGTTTGCGCACACGCAGCACTTATGTGTTCAAGATATATTTACTAAATCTAGCATTTAAGGTTGTTTTTTTCTTGTGCACCAATTGGCATTTTTTTTTTAAGACCTTAGAGACGAGGAAACAACAGTTTCACACAAAATAAGCCAGGTCTGTGTAAAACAGATGTGCACACAAAACTCAAGTTCTGGGACAAGACTAAAATTCAGAAGTGGACGAACAGCTGGAACTTGTCTCTAGTTTTCAGCTGGTGGAGAAAGAGAATATGACCCCTTTTTCTAGTGGTCTCGGGGCAAAGGGTTATTAATGGCAAACGCAAAAGACAAAGACAAATAATCTTGATAGTGCGTTTTTATAGTGTGCAGTGATTTGTTTTACATCAAGTTACAAAAGCAGTTGGCCGAGTGATTTGTATTTTTTATTGTCGTCAAAATGCTTGATGTTGGTCATTTATTGACCTTCATTTTATTATGTTTCCAAGTTGGACAGATTCAAGGAACCACCAGCGTTTGGCCCAATGTGTGATTTGTTATGGTCTGACCCCTTGGAGGACTTTGGTAACGAGAAAACGTCGGAACATTTTACGCACAACACTGTGAGAGGTTGCTCATATTTCTACAGGTACTTGTGTCAATCACACCTGCACACATGCACAGTAAATATAACTTTAGCTCCCCCATTTGCCTCACACCTATGCACATGCATGCACTCAAGGTACCTGCACACCCATACACCTATGCACTTATTTACACTATTGTGCACATGCATGCAGACACACACACACACTTCTGCCATCTATGCGTGCACTCACCTGTGTTACAATTACACTCAACATACCATTGGCATTTCTCTCTGTGTGTCTCACACACACACATTGCGCTCCCAGTGCCCCTCCCAACCACCCCTATCTCTCTCTCTCTCTGGTTAGATCTCTACTGGCAAACTCACTGTGGATGCCGATGTGTGGTTAGATCTACTGGCAAACTCACTGTGGATGCCGATGTGTGGTCAGATCTACTGGCAAACTTGCTGTGGATGCCGATGTGTGGTCAGATCTACTGGCAAACTCACTGTGGATGCTCATGTGTGGTCAGATCTACTGGCAAACTCACTGTGGATGCTGATGTGTGGTCAGATCTTCTGGCAAACTCACTGTGGATGCCGATGTGTGGTCAGATCTACTGGCAAACTCACTGTGGATGCCAATGTGTGGTCAGAGTATGCCAATGTGTGGTCAGATCTACTGGCAAACTCACTGTGGATGCCGATGTGTGGTCAGATCTCTACTGGCTCACTCACTGTGGATGCCAATGTGTGGTCACATCTTTACTGGCTCACTCAATGTGGATGCCAGTGTGTGGTCAGAGTATGCCGATGTGTGGTCAGATCTCTACTGGCTCACTCACTGTGAATGCTAATATGTGGTCAGAGTATGCCGATGTGTTGTCAGAACTCTTCTGGTACACTCACTGTAGTTGCGGATGTGTGGTCAGAACTCTTCTGGTACACTCACTGTAGATGCCGATGTGTGGTCAGAACTCTTTTGGTACACTCACTGTAGATGCCGATGTGTGGTCAGATCTACTGGCAAACTCACTGTGGATGCCAATGTGTGGTCACATCTTTACTGGCTCACTCAATGTGGATGCCAGTGTGTGGTCAGAGTATGCCGATGTGTGGTCAGATCTCTACTGGCTCACTCACTGTGAATGCTAATATGTGGTCAGAGTATGCCGATGTGTTGTCAGAACTCTTCTGGTACACTCACTGTAGTTGCGGATGTGTGGTCAGAACTCTTCTGGTACACTCACTGTAGATGCCGATGTGTGGTCAGAACTCTTTTGGTACACTCACTGTAGATGCCGATGTGTGGTCAGATCTACTGGCAAACTCACTGTGGATGCCAATGTGTGGTCAGAGTATGCCGATGTGTGGTCAGATATCTATTGGCACACTCACTATGGATGCCGATGTGTGGTCAGATCTCTACTGGCTCACTCACTTTGGATGCCGATGTATGGTCAGATCTCTACTGGCACACTCACTGTGGATACCGATGTATGGTCAGATCTCTATTGGCAAACTCACTGTGGATGCTAGAGTGTGGTCAGAGTATGCCGATGTATGGTCAGATCTCTACTGGCACACTCACTGTGGATACCGATGTATGGTCAGATCTACTGGCAAACTCACTGTGGATGCCAATGTGTGATCAGATCTCTACTTGCAAACTCACTGTGGATGCTAGTGTGTGGTCAGATCTCTACTGGCAAACTTACTGTGGATGCCAATGTGTGATCAGATCTCTACTTGCAAACCCACTGTGGATGCTAGTGTGTGGTCAGATCTCTATTGGCACACTCACTGTGGATGCCAGTGTATGGTCAGATCTACTGGCAAACTCACTGTGCATGCGGATGTGTGGTCAGAGTATGCCGATGTGTGGTCAGATCTCTACTGGCTCACTCACTGTGGATGCCGATGTGTGGTCAGATCTCTAATGGCACACTCACTATGGATGCCGATGTGTGGACAGATTATGCCGATGTGTGGTCAGATCTCTACTGGCAAACTCACTGTGGATGCCAATGTGTGATCAGATCTCTACTTGCAAACTCACTGTGGATGCTAGTGTGTGGTCAGATCTCTACTGGCAAACTTACTGTGGATGCCAATGTGTGATCAGATCTCTACTTGCAAACCCACTGTGGATGCTAGTGTGTGGTCAGATCTCTATTGGCACACTCACTGTGGATGCCAGTGTATGGTCAGATCTACTGGCAAACTCACTGTGCATGCGGATGTGTGGTCAGAGTATGCCGATGTGTGGTCAGATCTCTACTGGCTCACTCACTGTGGATGCCGATGTGTGGTCAGATCTCTACTGGCACACTCACTATGGATGCCGATGTGTGGATAGATTATGCTGATGTGTGGTCAGATCTCTACTGGCTCACTCACTATGGATGCCGACGTGTGGTCAGAGTATGCCGATGTGTGGTCAGATCTCTACTGGCACACTCACTATGGATGCCGATGTGTGGTCAGAGTATGCCGATGTGTGGTCAGATCTCTACTGGCACACTCACTATGGATGCCGACGTGTGGTCAGAGTATGCCGATATGTGGTCAGATCTCTACTGGCACACTCACTATGGATGCCGATGTGTGGTCAGATCTCTACTGGCACACTCACTATGGATGCCAATGTGTGGCCAGAGTATGCAGATGTGTGGTCAGATCCCTACTGGCACACTCACTATGGATGCCGATGTGTGGTCAGCGTATGCCGATGTGTGGTCGGATCTCTACTGGCACACTCACTATGGATGCCAATGTGTGGCCAGAGTATGCAGATGTGTGGTCAGATCCCTACTGGCTCACTCACTGTGGATGCCGATGTGTGGTCAGATCTCTACTGGCACACTCACTATGGATGCCGATGTGTGGTCAGCGTATGCCGATGTGTGGTCAGATCTCTACTGGCACACTCACTATGGATGCCAATGTGTGGCCAGAGTATGCAGATGTGTGGTCAGATCCCTACTGGCTCACTCACTATGGATGCCGGTGTGTGGACAGATTATGCCGATGTGTGGTCAGATCTCTACTGGCTCACTCACTGTGAATGCTAATGTGTGGTCAGATCTCTATTGGCTCACTCACTGTGGATGCCGATGTGTGGTCAGATCTCTACTGGCTCACTCACTGTGGATGCCGATGTGTGGTCAGATCTCTACTGGCTCACTCACTGTGGATGCCGATGTGTGGTCAGATCTCTACTGGCTCACTCACTGTGGATGCCGATGTGTGGTCAGATCTCTACTGGCTCACTCACTGCGGAACATTCTAAAGTGTTAGAAAAATGGTGACTGCAGCTGAGCTATGAAAACGCTTGAGTATAGAATCTGACTGGGAAGCTCAAGAACTGTAGTTTTTCCCTCTACCTGACTTCTACATTTGTGGCTAGAATGCTTGTTTTTTAGTCATTGATAGAGTCATAATTTTTTTGTTTTGGTCATTGATACAGACTATATTTCATTGATACTAGTCTATATTTACTTTGTAGAATTGTTATCACTTGAGGCAGCTACATAAAAGGCATTCCATGCAGACATATTGTAAAGTCTATATTTACTTTGTAGAATTGTTAACACTTGAGGCAGCTACATAAGAGGCATTCCATGCAGACATATTGTAAAGTCTATATTTACTTTGTAGAATTGTTAACACTTGAGGCAGCTACAATAAAAGGCATTCCATGCAGACTTATTGTAAAGTCTATATTTACTTTGTAGAATTGTTAACACTTAAGGCAGCTACATACGAGGCATTCCATGCAGACATATTGTAAAGTCTATATTTACTTTGTAGAATTGTTAACACTTGAGGCAGCTACAATAAAAGGCATTCCATGCAGACTTATTGTAAAGTCTATATTTACTTTGTAAAATTGTTAACACTTGAGGCAGCTACATACGAGGCATTCCATGCAGACTTATTGTAAAGTCTATATTTACTTTGTAGAATTGTTAACACTTGAGGCAGCTACAATAAAACGCATTCCATGCAGACTTATTGTAAAGTCTATGTTTACTTTGTAGAATTGTTAACACTTGAGGCAGCTACAATAAAAGGCATTCCATGCAGACTTATTGTAAAGTCTATATTTACTTTGTAGAATTGTTAACACTTGAGGCAGCTACAATAAAAGGCATTCCATGCAGACATATTGTAAAGTCTATATTTACTTTGTAGAATTGTTAACACTTGAGGCAGCTACAATAAAAGGCATTCCATGCAGACATATTGTAAAGTCTATATTTACTTTGTAGAATTGTTAACACTTGAGGCAGCTACAATAAAAGGCATTCCATGCAAACTTATTGTAAAGTCTATATTTACTTTGTAGAATTGTTAACACTTGAGGCAGCTACAATAAGAGGCATTCCATGCAGACATATTGTAAAGTCTATTTACTTTGTAGAATTGTTAACACTTGAGGCAGCTACATACGAGGCATTCCATGCAGACATATTGTAAAGTCTATATTTACTTTGTAGAATTGTTAACACTTGAGGCAGCTACAATAAAAGGCATTCCATGCAGACTTATTGTAAAGTCTATATTTACTTTGTAGAATTGTTAACACTTAAGGCAGCTACAATAAAAGGCATTCCATGCAGACATATTGTAAAGTCTATATTTACTTTGTAGAATTGTTAACACTTAAGGCAGCTACAATAAAAGGCATTCCATGCAGACTTATTGTAAAGTCTATATTTACTTTGTAGAATTGTTAACACTTGAGGCAGCTACATACGAGGCATTCCATGCAGACTTATTGTAAAGTCTATATTTACTTTGAAGAATTGTTAACACTTGAGGCAGCTACAATAAGAGGCATTCCATGCAGACATATTGTAAAGTCTATTTACTTTGTAGAATTGTTAACACTTGAGGCAGCTACATACTAGGAATTCCATGCAGACATATTGTAAAGTCTATATTTACTTTGTAGAATTGTTAACACTTGAGGCAGCTACATACGAGGCATTCCTTGCAGACTTATTGTAAAGTCGGGGTGTGTCAATGTGGTGACAGTTGTCATTTCTCTGCCCTCACTGCAACATTTCCTGGATTCACATAGGTTTGTCCAGCCACCCCTGTACCCACTCTAGGACTGAGAGGAAGTACTCTGTGTCTCTTACAATGATAGTATACTACTATTATTTTTCAAAATCTCTGGTCCCAAAACCAAGGTGTGTCTTATGCTTGAGGAAATATGGTAGTATTGTCACTTGTTCAGGGGGGGGGGGGGGGAGGGACACAGACCAGGTCGTAGAACAACATGTGGTTAGTGCCAACTTTCTGGCCAAGCCTGAAGCCCAAGAAACAACATGTGGTTAGTGCCAACTTTCTGGCCAAGCCTCAAGCCCAAGAAACAACATGTGGTTAGTGCCACCTTTCTGGCCAAGCCTGAAGCCCAAGAAATAACATGTGGTTAGTGCCAACTTTCTGGCCAAGCCTGAAGCCCAAGAAACAACATGTGGTTAGTGCCAACTTTCTGGCCAAGCCTGAAGCCCAAGAAACAACATGTGGTTAGTGCCAACTTTCTGGCCAAGCCTGAAGCCCAAGAAATAACATGTGGTTAGTGCCAACTTTCTGGCCAAGCCTGAAGCCCAAGAAATAACATGTGGTTAGTGCCAACTTTCTGGCCAAGCCTCAAGCCCAAGAAATAACATGTGGTTAGTGCCATCTTTCTGGCCAAGCCTGAAGCCCAAGAAACATGTGGTTAGTGCCAACTTTCTGGCCAAGCCTGAAGCCCAAGAAACAACATGTGGTTAGTGCCAACTTTCTGGCCAAGCCTGAAGCCCAAGAAATAACATGTGGTTAGTGCCAACTTTCTGGCTAAGCCTGAAGCCCAAGAAACAACATGTGGTTAGTGCCAACTTTCTGGCTAAGCCTGAAGCCCAAGAAATAACATGTGGTTAGTGCCAACTTTCTATCTAAGCCTGAAGCCCAAGAAATAACATGTGGTTAGTGCCAACTTTCTGGCCAAGCCTGAAGCCCAAGAAATAACATGTGGTTAGTGCCAACTTTCTGGCCAAGCCTGAAGCCCAAGAAATAACATGTGGTTAGTGCCAACTTTCTGGCCAAGCCTCAAGCTCAAGAAATAACATGTGGTTAGTGCCATCTTTCTGGCCAAGCCTGAAGCCCAAGAAACATGTGGTTAGTGCCAACTTTCTGGCCAAGCCTGAAGCCCAAGAAACAACATGTGGTTAGTGCCAACTTTCTGGCCAAGCCTGAAGCCCAAGAAATAACATGTGGTTAGTGCCAACTTTCTGGCTAAGCCTGAAGCCCAAGAAACAACATGTGGTTAGTGCCAACTTTCTGGCTAAGCCTGAAGCCCAAGAAATAACATGTGGTTAGTGCCAACTTTCTATCTAAGCCTGAAGCCCAAGAAATAACATGTGGCTAGTGCCAACTTTCTGGCTAAGCCTGAAGCCCAAGAAATAACATGTGGTTAGTGCCAATTTTCTGGCCAAGCCTGAAGCCCAAGAAACAACATGTGGTTAGTGCCACCTTTCTGGCCAAGCCTGAAGCCCAAGAAATAACATGTGGTTAGTGCCAACTTTCTGGCCAAGCCTCAAGCCCAAGAAATAACATGTGGTTAGTGCCAACTTTCTGGCCAAGCCTGAAGCCCAAGAAATAACATGTGGTTAGTGCCACCTTTCTGGCCAAGCCTGAAGCCCAAGAAATAACATGTGGTTAGTGCCAACTTTCTGGCCAAGCCTGAAGCCCAAGAAATAACATGATATTCCCAACCAATTCTGCCTACAGTTAAAGTATTATCAGTATTACTCACCATTTGATTTAGTTTGTGGAACAGGTTCCATTAAATGTTTGTGTAAGTGTTCATGGCAGAAGGGGATCTGGTCATGCCATTTCATATTGTGACCTAGAGAGTTGAGTCAGTTGGTTGAGGTTCCAACATCCTTGCCGATGGGTTGGCCCCTAATTGCTCTGTTGCTGTGCCTGTAGAAATCACACAAAATGTCTTTGACTGTCCCATCTGAAAACTAGTGAAAAACATTAGTTGCACCTAAATCTTGAAGCTTGCACACGCAAAATAACAGTGCATAAGGCAGCTTTCAGATGTGCCAACACTAATGATCCTACACCATATTTGAGCTCACTATTGGTGGAAACTGTCAGTAACGAAAGCATTGCACTTGCAAAAGTATGCGCCATTCTGAATTTGACGAGAAAAACATTCACCATAAAATCCATGGTACACTGTGTCACACTAAACACTATTCTCAGTAGCTGGGCAACAGAACCTTTGGACTCCCGGTCCAGAAATGGGGAATTTGATTAAGCAAAACCAAGCTGGAAACAAATAACTGTTCAGAGTGTCAGCAGAGAGCGGTTTTGACGGGAAGACCTAGAGTCTTAGTCGAGGTTTCGACATCACCGCAGTCAGGTTTCTCCATACATGCTCCGTTCCTCTTTCAGTGCAAATCAACTGAAATGTCCCTCACTGTTGCAGTTGAAAAACTGGTGATCAAACAATTAGTGCCGGAGCAATCCAGAAATATGCGCACACAGTAAATGTGTATTTCAGTTGCTGGGGGTGCCAAAGCCAATTATCGCCACCAGAAATGAAGTTTGCTGTTGATGGAAGTAGTCAGGCATGATAAGTTGGTTACAGTACTCTCACCTAGAGAGTGTGAAAGCCTAATATAGCACACCCTAATGGCACACTGCCATGGGACACCCCTTTACTTTCGAGGACCTGTATCTATGTTTCAGCACATTTGGTGCCATTGAAGACTTATTTGGCAAGACCATGTATGATTTCAGAATAGGCACAGCTTTATCGGGTTGATACCAGGGACTTCTTTGAAGATAAAAAGTAAATACACTAGCTTACATAATATAAAGTCCTACTACCTGACATATTGACAGTGTCTGTCATGAACTTAATTTACATCCTTATCAACTGAGTGTTTTATTGGTAGAGTGTGATCGGAGAGAGCATGTTCATATACTGACTGTTGTATCCCCAGCTATGCAGCATGTTGTGACTTCTTGCAACAGAACAATTTGTTGTCTATAATCCGGGCACATGAGGCACAGGATGCAGGGTAAGTTCTGTATGCAGTTTCTAGTCTTAATGATATTCTGTCAGTTTTCTTAGATAAAAGTTGATTCTCTAGCTAGGATGTCAGCTCTCTAGCTACAGGGCACATTCTCTAGCTAGGATGTCAGCTCTCTAGCTACAGTGCACATTCTCTAGCTAGGATGTCAGCTCTCTAGGGACAGGGCACATTCTCTAGCTAGGATGTCAGCTCTCTAGGGACAGGGCACATTCTCTAGCTAGGATGTCAGCTCTCTAGATACAGGGCACATTCTCTAGCTAGGATGTCAGCTCTCTAGGTACAGGGCTCATTCTCTAGCTAGGATGTCAGTTCTTCAGCTACAGTGCACATTCTCTAGCTAGGATGTCAGCTCTCTAGCTACAGTGCACATTCTCTAGCTAGGATGTCAGCTCTCTAGGTACAGGGCACACTCTCTAGCTAGGATGTCAGTTCTCCAGGTACAGGGCACATTCTCTAGCTAGGCTTTCAGCTCTCTGGTTGCAGTGCACATTCTCTAGCTAGGATGTCAGCTCTCTAGCTACAGTGCACATTCTCTAGCTATTATGCCAGTTCTCCAGCTACGGTGCACATTCTCTAGCTAGGATGTCAGCTCTCCGACTGCAGTGCACATTTTCTAGCTAGAATGCCAGGTGCGTTTTTATATATATATATATATATATATATATATATATATATATATATATATATATATATATATATATATATATATATATATATATATATATATATACACACAAGAGTTAAAGAACTGAGATAACTTTAGAAATTGTTCCCCGAGTGAGAGAGAGATCAAGTCAGATATTGCTCCCTAAGATGAACTTGAATCAAGTAAGCTGTTACACCCTGAGTGAGAGAGAACTTGAATCAAGAAAGCTGTCACACCCTGAGTGAGAGAGAACTTGAATCAAGTAAGCTGTTACACCCTGAGTGAGAGAGAACTTGGATCAAGTAAGCTGTTACACCCTGAGTGAGAGAGAACTTGGATCAAGAAAGCTGTTACACCCTGAGTGAGAGAGAACTTGAATCAAGTCATTGTTTCCTGAGTGAGAAAGAAGTTGGATAAGTCTGATATTATTCCCTGAGTAAGAGAGGACTCAGATCAGATCATTGTTCCCTGTGAGGGAGAACTCAAATTATGTCTGTTATTGTTTACTGAGAGAGAGAGAACCCAGATCAGATGATTTTTGTTTGAGTGAAAGAGAAGTCAGATCAAGTTGAGTGTTTGTTCTTGATTTAGTGAGAGTGCTGACATCACACTGATGTTCCCAGGAGCATGAGGGAACTGAATTCGAGCGTGATTGAATGCCCTGAAGTAAGAGCAGTGATGCAATCAACTCTGATGTGTTTTTTGTCTTATTGCAGGTATAGAATGTACAGGAAGAGTCAGACTACAGGTTTTCCATCATTGATTACAATTTTCTCAGCACCAAACTATCTCGATGTCTACAACAACAAAGGCAAGTCTCTTCTTGTAGGTTCCCCATTGTCTCTTCTGCAGATGAAACCTCTGTTCTCTCAGTGCGTCTGTGTTAATGCTTGGATTGTCAGTTCTTTCATAATAAGTCACCCCAGATGATGTCAGGAGAACTGTCCAATATTTTATAGGGTGGTAAGACCGGGTTTCCAACTTTGTGGTGCTTTTAACTACCCAAAAAAATCTAGAACTGGACCTAACCCCAACCCACCTACATCCCATGAGAGAGTGTAGCCTAGGTCCCACGACTGCATGCAGCGTATCTACCATCCCCTGAAATATTGGACTGTCTGTTTAGGGTGACTTATTACAACAGTACCGGATTGTCTTCCAATAACTGTGGTACAACCTTACAATGTGGTGATGATCACACTCAGCAGTATGCAAGGCTCTTGAAACAGGGCACAATAACAGTATTAGATACTGGATTAAAGAGACAACAGTCCATGGATTAGCAGTACAACATGGTTTATGGTGGAGACAATAGAACACAGCAAAAATCTGTATCAACAATATAGCTGAAGATACAGGCTATGAAACAGCTGAAGTCTGTATATGACAACACAGCTGAGGATAGAGACCATGGAACAATAGAAGTCTGTATAGACAACACCGCTGAGGATAGAGACCATGGAACAACAGAAATCTGTAAAGACAACACAGCTGAGGATAGAGACCATGAAACAACAGAAATCTGTAAAGACAACACAGCTGAGGATAGAGACCATGAAACAACAGAAATCTGTAAAGACAACACAGCTGAGGATAGAGACCATGAAACAACAGAAATCTGTAAAGACAACACAGCTGAGGATAGAGACCATGAAACAGCTGAATATAGACAACACAGCTGAGGATAGAGACCATGGAACAGCTGAAGTCTGTATAGACAACACAGCTGAGGATAGAGACCATGAAACAGCTGAATATAGACAACACAGCTGAGGATAGAGACCATGGAACAGCTGAATATAGACAACACAGCTGAGGATAGAGACCATGAAACAGCTGAAGTCTGTATAGACAACACAGCTGAGGATAGAGACCATGAAACAGCTGAATATAGACAACACAGCTGAGGATAGAGACCATGAAACAGCTGAATATAGACAACACAGCTGAGGATAGAGACCATGAAACAGCTGAATATAGACAACACAGCTGAGGAAAGAGACCATGAAACAGCTGAATATAGACAACACAGCTGAGGATAGAGACCATGGAACAGCTGAAGTCTGTATAGACAACACAGCTGAGGATAGAGACCATGAAACAGCTGAAGTCTGTATAGACAACACAGCTGAGGATAGAGACCATGAAACAGCTGAAGTCTGTATAGACAAAACAGCTGAGGATAGAGACTGGGATATAGCAAAAGTCTGTATAGACAGAACAGCTGAGGATAGAGACTGGGATATAGCAAAAGTCTGTATAGACAGAACAGCTGAGGATAGAGACTGGGATATAGCAAAAGTCTGTATATACAACACAGCTAAGGATAGAGACTGGGATATAGCAAAAGTCTGTATAGACAGAACAGCTGAGGATAGAGACTGGGATATAGCAAAAGTCTGTATAGACAGAACAGCTGAGGATAGAGACTGGGATATAGCAAAAGTCTGTATAGACAGAACAGCTGAGGATAGAGACTGGGATATAGCAAAAGTCTGTATATACAACACAGCTAAGGATAGAGACTGGGATATAGCAAAAGTCTGTATAGACAGAACAGCTGAGGATAGAGACTGGGATATAGCAAAAGTCTGTATAGACAGAACAGCTGAGGATAGAGACTGGGATATAGCAAAAGTCTGTATAGACAGAACAGCTGAGGATAGAGACTGGGATATAGCAAAAGTCTGTATAGACAGAACAGCTGAGGATAGAGACTGGGATATAGCAAAAGTCTGTATAGACAGAACAGCTGAGGATAGAGACTGGGATATAGCAAAAGTCTGTATAGACAGAACAGCTGAGGATAGAGACTGGGATATAGCAAAAGTCTGTATATACAACACAGCTAAGGATAGAGACTGGGATATAGCAAAAGTCTGTATAGACAGAACAGCTGAGGATAGAGACTGGGATATAGCAAAAGTCTGTATAGACAGAACAGCTGAGGATAGAGACTGGGATATAGCAAAAGTCTGTATAGACAGAACAGCTGAGGATAGAGACTGGGATATAGCAAAAGTCTGTATAGACAGAACAGCTGAGGATAGAGACTGGGATATAGCAAAAGTCTGTATAGACAGAACAGCTGAGGATAGAAACTGGGATATAGCAAAAGTCTGTATAGACAGAACAGCTGAGGATAGAGACTATGGGATATAACAGAAGTCCAAATAGACAACACAGCTGAGGATAGAGACGATAGAACAACAGAAATCTGTATATACAACACAGCTGAGGATAGAGACTATGGGATATAACAGAACTCCAAATAGACAACACAGCTGAGGATAGAGACTATGGGATATAACAGAAGTCCAAATAGACAACACAGCTGAGGATAAAGACTGTGGAACATAGCAGAAGTCTATATAGACAACACAGCTGAGGATAGAGACCATTGAACATAACAAAAGTCTGTGTAGACAACAAGCTGAGGATAGACTATAGAAGAGCAGAAGACTGGAGGTTTGTGTGACTTTAAGCTGAGTAATCTCTATTTTTCAAAAATGGCTTTGTCTGAATGCAAACATTTTCAAGCTTAGATAGCAGCAGCTAGGACCCCGTAAATACTCATCTGCATCATCATGTACCATGCTGATAAGAACATGTGGTCATATAAATCTATGTGGCTAAAGTTTTGTGTGTGTATTAGCAGTAGTGTGCATAAATTCTGCGTGAACGTGTCAGTGTGTTGTCAGACTTGAATGTGGAAGTACCACAGTCAGATGTGGGCTGTTTGGAGACTTTACTGGTCTTGCTTGTACCTTTATTCTGGAAGTGGAGTGGGGACTGGCTACTGTATGGCGTGTACCTGAGTTCTGGGGGAGACTATCTACTGTATGGCTTGTACCTGAATTCTGTGGGAGACTATCTACTGTATGGCGTGTACCTGAATTCTAGGGGAGACTATCTACTGTATGGCGTGTACCTGAATTCTGTGGGAGACTATCTACTGTATGGCTTGTACCTGAATTCTGTGGGAGACTATCTACTTTATGGCTTGTACCTGAATTCTGTGGGAGACTATCTACTGTATGGCTTGTACCTGAATCCTGGGGGGGAAACTGGTTACTGTGAGGCTTGTACCTGAGTTCTGGGAACTAGTTACTGTATGGCGTGTACCTGAGTTCTGGAGGGGAGACTAGTTACTTTATGGTGTTTACTTGAGTTCTGGGAACTAGTAAGTTGTATGGCGTGTACCTGAGTTTTGGGAACTATTTAGTTGTATGTTGTGTACCTGAGTTTTGGGAACTAGTTAGTTCTATGGCGTGTACCTGAGTTCTGGGAACTAATTAGTTGTATGGCGTGTACCTGAGTTCTGGAAACTAGTTAGTTGTATGGCGTGTACCTGAGTTATGGGAACTAGTTAGTTGTATGGCGTGTACCTGAGTTCTGGGAACTAATTAGTTGTAGGCATGTACCTGGGTTCTGGGAACTAATTAGTTGTATGGCTTGTACCTGAGTTCTGGGAACTAATTAGTTGTATGGCGTGTACCTGAGTTCTGGGAACTAATTAGTTGTATGGCTTGTACCTGAGTTCTGAGACAACATTGAAACTATTGTCTGCATGTCCCTACAGCTGCTATACTCAAGTATGAAAACAATGTGATGAACATCAGGCAATTCAACTGCTCACCTCATCCTTACTGGCTGCCAAATTTTATGGATGTTTTTACCTGGTCACTTCCTTTTGTTGGAGAGAAAGGTAAGACTTGAACATCACATATTGTGGTCAGTGTGTCAGTAGTCCTTTTTAGTCTGAGATGGTACTGTAGCAGATGTCTGAGGGAGCACAAAGCAGTTGCCAACAACCATGAGACTCAACCCATGGGGAGTGGGGATTTCTCTGTCATGCTCTGAATCAGATATTTAAACGGGCATTTGCAGGATCTGCTTTGTTGCAGTAGGCTTTATTCTGACAGCTCTTCACAAAGTCACTGTTTGCCAGCCAAGAGTACCACAAAGCACAAGATCCTACAACTTCAGCGACAACTATCATTGATCTCTAAAACACCTGCGCTTGCAAATGGCATAACATAGTTTGTAATGACAACATTTGAAGATCAAAACAAATACCATAACCCAGTGTTTTCCAAACTTTTCTTAGCCACAGCGCACAGTTTGGGAATCACTGCCTCATTGCCACTGAAGCCACGTATAGGAAGTCCAAGAACAACGCTGTGTTGTTATTTATTTTGACTTGACATGGACAGTCTGACATTTCCTTAAGAGTCTAGAGTAAATTTATTTGAATGTGGAAATTTTATACAGTAAATTTCATATGAATGTGGAATTTTGATAGAGTACAGTACATTTATATGAATGTGGAAATTTGATAGAGTACAGTAAATTTAAATGAATGTGAAAATTTGATAAGAGTACAGTAAATTTAAATGAATGTGGAAATTTGATAGAGTAAATTTATATGAATTTGGAAATTTGATAGAGTACAGTAAATTTGTATGAATATGGAAAATTGATATAGTACAGTAAATTTATATGAATGTCTATATTATTAGAGCAGTTTACGTGTAAAGAAAAGAACAAATAAATCTATACTTCGAGAACTGAATATTGAAAAAGGTTGGCTGTTAAAGACAACAAAACACAGAAAATTGAAATATTTTAGTCACTTGAAAGTTTAGAGAGAAAAATAGTGGAGGTATATATATCCCCGGGAAGAGAGGAAGGCCAAAGGGAAGATGGGTGCAGGATGTGGCACATGATCTGAAGATGGGTGTATTAAATGTGGGACATCTTGCTTGTGATTGAGAAGTTTTCCGGAAGGTTGTTATGGAAGCAAGGTTCAGTAAGGAACTGAGTGTAAATGTGGATATTTGATGAAGAACAATAAGTTGACATGAATAGAGATATTTGATGGAAGTACAATAAGTTGAAATGAATAGAGATATTTAATAAAAGTACAATAAGTTGACATGAATAGAGATATTTGATGGAAGTTCAATAAGTTGACATGAATAGAGATATTTGATGGAAGTTCAATAAGTTGACATGAATAGAGATATTTGATGAAAATACAATAAGTTGACATGGATAGAGATATTTGATGGGGGTACAATAAGTTGACATGGATAGAGATATTTGATGGGGGTACAATAAGTTGACATGGATAGAGATATTTGATGGAAGTACAATAAGTTGACATGAATAGAGATATTTGATGGAAGTACAATAAGTTGACATGAATAGAGATATTTGATGGAAGTACAATAAGTTGACATGAATAGAGATATTTGATGGGAGTACAATAAGTTGACATGAATAGAGATATTTGATAGGGGTACAATAAGTTGACATGAATGTGGATATTTAATGGAGTACAGTAAGTTGACATGAATATGGATATTTTCTCGAGTACAATGAGTTTATGTAGAGGTTTGATGGACATTTTATAAAGTACAGTAAGTTGACATGAATATTTGGTGGAGTACAATAAGTTGATGTAGAGGTTTGATGGATATTTTATAAAGTACAATAAGTTGACATGAATATTTGGTGGAGTACAATAAGTTGATGTAGAGGTTTGATGGATATTTTATAAAGTACAATAAGTTAACATGAATATTTTGTGAAGTACAATAAGTTGATGTAGAGGTTTGATGGATATTTTATAAGGTACAATAAGTTGAAATGAATATTGTGTGGAGTACAATAAGTTGATGTAGAGGTTTGATGGATATTTGATAAAGTACAATAAGTTGACATGAATATTTGGTGGAGTAGAATAAGTTGATGTAGAGGTTTGAGAGACTAGTCACTGGTTATCCATGTTAATGTTGATCTCTCATCTGGCAGTGACAGAGATGCTGGTGAATATACTCAACATTTGTTCTGATGACGAGCTGGTCTCTGAAGGTGATGCAGACTCCATGGAAGGTAAACCATTGTGCACTTGGCCTGATGTACATCTGCTACAACTGTTGATGCATCCTCTTGTGTCTGCACTACTATACTCTGTGGCACAATGTCAGATATTGTCTCAGTATCTACTGATGCTTCCGTTTTTGATATTTTTTTTCTAATTCCCAGGGTTTGGTTTCTAGGTTTTGTTGACCTTAGCTTGACTTGTTGCTTCTTGAGTGTGGGTATCTATGCACATCTGTTAGTTACACATGCTTGACCATATATTTCTTACCCCCTTTCTGTGCAGAAGCTTTGGTCTTCAACTGCTGTGCACATACCAAGCATTTATCTGTGCCTGAAAGTTTGTTGTAGGCTTTTCTGTAATTGTGTTCTCTAATGAAACAGTGGTATCAGTAGCTATGGAACTAGAACTGACATCTGGAACCCGTAAGATAACCACAGAGTTACTAAAACAGCCTCGAGGGTCTGGATATCACCTTTGTGAGAGTAGAAGAACAAGGAGTAAGGTCCCTGAGAATGTTACCCATCGGTAGTTATAAGCACAAACCCATTGAATTTGCCAGGCCGGCATGTATGGGATGATAGTATAGGTTCAGTCTGCATGTGAGTTAGGGAGTTTGTTGAACCTACACAGATGACAGGATAATTGTTGAATCTATACAGATGACAGGGTATTTATTAAACTTGTACAGATGTCAAAATAATTGTTGAATCTATACAGATGACAGGGTATTTATTGTATCTACACAGCTAACAGGGTTTGTTGTTAAGTTTATGCAGATGACAGTTGAATGCTAGGGTGTTCGTTGGGCCTAGTTTTGTGACAGCTTGTAGGCTGATCATCAGACTTTCATGTCAGTGAAGTTCCTAGTCAGTTATATTCTTAGCCTGCAATTTAAAATAATAGTGAAAACATCTAATAGACCAGTGCCAATAGTGAAGGTGATGGAGTAGATAGGCTTGCATTGAATCTAGGCGTGTGGTTAACCTGTAGACACAGTGATGTTTGCATGTCTCCCCTTCATCTTGGAGCAACTGGTCATATATTCTGACATCTGAATCATTCCCCGGGTATGAAGGGTCTGGTTGACCATCAGATCTATTGTAAGCGTTGTTTGTGCTTCTTCTGTTCGAGCCGAGTTGACGGCCGGCTGCTGTATATGTCCTCACTCCTCTGCCAGCTGTCACCTTGCTGTGCACTGGCTCATCACTTATTGACACTCATCTTATGTTAAATGTATGCTCACTGACAGTCACCTCACTGTTACGTGTTTGTATAATTGTTCTTTATGTGTATGCATTTTATTTATTATTCTCTACTTTTTATTCAAAGTTTTTACACATGAACTTTCATTGCTTAATTCTTCATTACTTTTTACTGGTGTCTATTTGAAGGTAGTCTTATTTGACACACTGTTGAAACTGGCTGGCATGTTTGCCTGCTTGTTGAGCTTTGAGGTCAATCCAGACTTAAATAGTCATTGTATGGAAAGTGAAGGCAGTGGATGTGATGTGATAGTTACCACAAATCAACCATCTACAAAATAAAGGGTTAACGTCATTTACCCACTAAGTCCGGTGACATAGAAATGACACCGCTACCATGTTCAGTTGTTCCACAGTGTCTGCTTACCCATACCAGAGCCATTGTTCAGTTGTACCACAGTGACTGCTTACCCATACCAGAGCCATTGAACCATGTTCAGTTGTACCACAGTGTCTGCTTACCCATACCAGAGCCATTGTTCAGTTGTACCACAGTGTCTGCTTACCCATACCAGAGCCATTGTTCAGTTGTACCACAGTGACTGCTTACCCATACCAGAGCCATTGAACATTGTTCAGTTTGTACCCACAGTTCAGTTGTTACCACAGTCTGCTTACCCATACCAGAGCCAGAGCCGTGAAAGTACAGGCATGTAGAGTTGTACCATTTAGAAAAAATGTTCAGTTGTTCCACAGTGTCTGCTTACCCATACCAGAGCCATTGAACCATGTTCAGTTGTTCCACAGTGTCTGCTTACCCATACCAGAGCCATTGAACCATGTTCAGTTGTTCCACAGTGTCTGCTTACCCATACCAGAGCCATTGAACCATGTTCAGTTGTACCACAGTGTCTGCTTACCCATACCAGAGCCATTGAACCATGTTCAGTTGTACCACAGTGACTGCTTACCCATACCAGAGCCATTGAACCATGTTCAGTTGTACCAAAGTGTCTGCTTACCCATACCAGAGCCATTGAACCATAAGTTTTCCAGTGATCTATTGAACCACTGATAAGTGTCTCCTGTTTGTTACCCATACCAGAGCCATTGAACCATGTTCAGTTTTGTACTATTGTCCACATAAGTGTCTCCTGGTGATCTATTGTCCACTGATAAGTTTGTCTTTATCTATGTCCAGAGCCATTGAATTGTCCCATGTTCAGTTGTGATCTACCAAAGTGTCTGCTTACCCATACCAGAGCCATTGAACCATGTTCAGTTGTACCAAAGTGTCTGCTTACCCATAACCAGAGCCATTGAACCATGTTCAGTTGTACCAAAGTGTGGTGATCTATTACCCATAAGTTTGTCTCCAGTTTGTGGTGATCTAGCCATTGAACCATGTTCCAGTTTTGTGACCAACTGATAAGTCTGCTTGACTATTGTCCACTGATAAGTTTACTTGTCTCCTAAGTTTGTGGTGATCTCCACTGATAAGTTTACTTGTCCACCTGATAAGTTTGTCTCCTAAGTTTGTGATCTATTGTCCACTGATAAGTTTACTTGTCTCCTAAGTTTGTGGTTATGTAGTTTGTCCACTGATAAGTTTACTTGTTCCTAAGTTTGTGGTGACCTTGACTCCCTGATTGACTTGTCTCCTAAGTTTGTGGTGATCTATTGTCCACTGATAAGTTTACTTGTCTCCTAAGTTTGTGGTGATCTATTGTCCACTGATAAGTTTGTCTCCTAAGTTTGTGGTGATTCTTACGGATATGTTTTGTCTCCTAATCTATTGTCCACTGATAAGTTTACTTGTCTCCTAAGTTTGTGGTGATCTATTGTAACTGATAAGTTTGTCTCCTAAGTTTGTGGTGATCTATTGTCCACTGATAAGTTTACCCTAAATTTGTGGTGATTATTGTCCACTGAAAAGTCTCCTAAAGATACTTGTCTCCTAAGTTTCCTATTGTCCATGATAAGTTTACTTGTTATAAGTTTGTGGTGATCTATTGTCCACTGATAAGTTTGTCTCCTAAGTTTGTGGTGACCTATTGTCCACTGATAAGTTTACTTGTCTCCTAAGTTTGTGGTGACCTATTGTCCACTGATAAGTTTACTTGTCTCCTAAGTTTGTGGTGATCTATTGTCCACAGTTTTGTCTGATAAGTTTGTGGTGATCTATTTACTGATAAGTTTGTCTCCTAAGTTTGTGGTGATCTATTGTCCACTGATAAGTTTACTTGTCTCCTAAGTTTGTGGTGATCTATTGTCCACTGATAAGTTTACTTGTCTCCTAAGTTTGTGGTGATCTATTGTCCACTGATAAGTTTACTTGTCTCCTAAGTTTGTGGTGATCTATTGTCCACTGATAAGTTTACTTGTCTCCTAAGTGATCTATTTGTGTAAATCTATTGTCCACTGATAAGTTTACTTTGATCTGTTTACTTGTCTCCTAAGTTTGTGGTAGTTTACTTGTCTCCTAAGTTTGTGGTGACCTATTGTACACTGGTAAGTTTACTTGTCTCCTAAGTTTGTGGTGATCTATTGTCCACTGATAAGTTTACTTGTCTCCTAAGTTTGTGGTGATCTATTGTCCACTGATAAGTTTACTTGTCTCCTAAGTTTGTGGTGATCTATTGTCCACTGATAAGTTTACTTGTCTCCTAAGTTTGTGGTGACCTATTGTCCACTGATAAGTTTGTCTCCTAAGTTTGTGGTGTTCTATTGTCCACTGAAAAGTTTACTTGTCTCCTAAGTTTGTGGTGATCTATTGTCCACTGGACGGCCATTCTGTAAAATCAAACAGCTTTTTTTCCTGTAACAGTTTTCCACTCAGTATTTGCCTAAACGTTACAACCATTTGTTTTTCAAATATAAGTTTTCCAACAGTTGTATATATCATTTTATGTTTCTAGTCATGTTAGTATGTGTTTGTCTTTCATTAAACTACAATTAAAAAATAAAAAAAATTTTTTTTTTTTTTTTGGTATTTTTTTTTTTAGTAGCAATTTTAGAAGATTGACACATAAACATGTGAGATTTTTTTAGTGTCAATTTGTGAACTTTCAGGATTTCTAGAGTATTCATTCTTGAACATGCAGAATATTTAGAGCCTTTATTTGTGACATTTTGGGTGATTTTTAATGAAGCCTGTAGCCTAGTCCTCATCATCTTCTTTTGGTTTGTTCATGAAAAGGTGGTAGGCGGGTTGTGGTTTACAGCTAGGCTGGAGTATCTTTGCCATTCAGCCTAACCCATCCAGTTTCAGCAAACCTATGATTAGTCACCATTGACAACATGCTGTTGAGGGGTAGCGGATCTATTCCCCCCCCCCCCCCATCCCCAGCTAGACCCCAAAACCCACACAGGGAGCCTAGTCCATGTGTTTTTGTAGCATTTCAGAGTAGCTTTCCCTAGAATTGATCCCAAACCACTTTTGGAGCAGCAGATTTGTGTCTCTTATTCTGGTCCATGTCTGTCACGCTGCCCAGCACAGGAGACTGACTGTCAGTGGCTGTACAATCACTGGCTTTCAGTCATTGAGGCCACAAGTGCTGCAGCATGGATACACCAAACAGTGATTTCAGGCTTGGTTGTACTTGTGTACGTGAACATCCCAGGGTGTGAGTGGTCAGTAACCAAATCTGCCGTCTATTGTCTGAGTGATTTTTGTGTTGTTGGTTGTTGACCACTGTTAGACATTGTGAACACAGGAATACATTCAGTAGTGAATATTTACACTCACAGTAGTAGTCTTATTTATTTTGTAATTTTCTTCAGGATGTTAGAATGTACTCATACAA